AAWSWKGAAAGAGGACACCAGAACGAAGATGGCGGAAATAAAGGAAAGASTTGCAAGATTTATGAACAATTATACAGAAAAASACATAATTTTCTTCGTGTGTACTGCGTTAAATATCACATCTGTAGTGGTAGCTCTGTTGTTGCAGTTTTTAAAAGCCGAATACGGCCGATATTTCAACAATAAGTCCCAAGAAAAATGGGGGTTGGGTATGAACCACAAACTGGCCTGGTTTCTACAAGAGATACCAATGTTTGCCTTCCCGTTGTTGTTCCTGGTCAAGTCGTATAATRTTTCAAACGGCTTGACTCCTAACACTGTACTTCTTTGCTTCATTCTCATTCATTATTTTAGAAGGTATGGTGATGATCTGGAACAGAAATTTCATAAAATTTATTATAATGATAATTTTCAACATGTTATTTATGCAAATCTAACATCATCATTGCATTTTTGTAGGGTGTTTCTTTATCCTCTGCAAATGAAAGGAGGCAAGCCAACACCRTGGATGATTTGGTTAATGGCACTCTCCTACACATCAATCAGTGGCTACATTCAAGGGCGATATATAGCTGTTTATRCAAATTATGATAAGTCTTGGTTTTATGACCCTCGCTTTCTGCTYGGTTCCTGTGTGTTTTTTACTGGAATGATGCTCAATATCCAATGTGATACAATACTTGTCAACCTGAGGAAGCCTGGAGAAACAGGATATAAAATACCCAGAGGTAATTCCATTCACAGTAGCCTTCTTCCCAGGCCTCTCCCTTCCTTTCTGCTCTTCCTGCTTTCCTCAATAGGGAAACTATCTGAGGAACACAACAAGAGCAAAATGCAATGTGGCCTGTGGAGRAGTCTACTTTTCTCTGCATATAGCCTCCTCCACAGACATCAGTAACAGTCATGGGCTTCCTGTCTTTTTTTTTGTTCATTACAAGGGAAGCCAAAAGGAGGTAAAAAGAGGTGCCTGAGAAGGAGATTAGCTCAGGACTGAGCCTCAAAACCAGTTGAATTATTTTTGCTTCATATTAACAGCCTTTAGGATCTCATAATGTGATAGAGAAAGAGGATTTTAAATCAAATTTGAAATGTTTTTTTACTCAAACCTATAGTTAATACAGAAATATTATTACACATTTTGAGGCTAATAACGATACTCAATGTTTATCAACAAACTCATTCTTATTTTAATGTCAGATTGGCTAATTTTAGCAAGTTGCATCGCTCTAACAAATCAATTGTCTTCTGGTTGGCACAAATGAATAACAAAGGCTTACATCACATTGAGTATCGTGTTTGTAGATTTGCCAACAACAGAGAAATGAAATATTATTTATGTCATCATTAGTTATTATACAATATTGATTTAGAATATTATAAAGGCTTGCATCTAGTTTTTTTATGCCCAGACTAGGCAAAATTTAAAAACTACCATTTTAGTAATTACAATGTTTTAAAAGCATTTTCTACTGTTTTGTAGGAGGGCTGTTTGAATATGTTTCTGGGGCCAACTTCAGTTCAGAGATTCTAGAATGGAGTGGTTTTGCAATTGCTTGTTGGACTTACCCAGCTTTCACATATGCATTCTTTACACTTTGTAACATTGGACCAAGGGCTTGTCAACATCATAGGTAACAAACCGTAGTTTTAGATATAGATGGAAGTACAATGAGAGTACAATGCCAGCACATACTTGTAAAGAAGGGTGGGGGTATGCCTTCTCATTATTTGCGTATCTTATTCAAACATAGAGTAGATGTACTTAATTTGTGGAACAAATATTACTAATTACTACCAAACAAACAGTCYGCTGTTTCTGTGACCTCACGCAAGGATAGAAACAAGGAATATCAGACTGTGGACTAAGACCGGGGACTAAGCTTGCTATGCACTGCAACAACAAAGGCCAAACCAAAACAGATTATAAGAAGTTCTGGTTATTATGTAAAAGCTGTCTAAAGTACTTAGCAAGCTATGTTGCACCAGGTGGAACTCATTGTTGTTGCTGATGACTTTTCTTTTTCAATCTGCAGATTTTACTTAGAGAAATTTGAGGACTACCCAAGGTCACGGAAGGCTCTCATTCCATTTATATTTTGATTGAAGTTAGCAAAATCTTTTATTGTTTATAATTTAGTCAGTTTCTACATTATTTATCTAGAAAGGGTGATGTATTGACAGTGAAAGATAAATTGTATTTATTCATAGTGAAAATTATTGCAGTGACTTCGTCATTTTGAAGTTTGTTTGGATTTTTTTTTCTTTCCTGTGCGATTTTAGCGGCAAAGCTTTTTGTAAACTGTTCACTCATTGGTTRATTTGACCAGTTTGACAAATTGGCAAATGTTTTGAGGAAAAATGAAAATCACTTGCAAGTCAGATCAAATTATGTACATTATATTGATACCACATTTTGAAAATTAATATGGACCTATCACTTAAACTTTAATACATTATTACATGATTGTACATCCCTATTTACACCAAAGGATAAAATTCATGAAATACAAGCTAATAGTCAAAGTGACCAAGTGTTTCCTTGAAAGGTAGCTATTCCCTTGCTTTAGATCAAAACGATCATTGAGCAGTGTGCAAGTTTAGAAGCCTTTCACACTTAATAGTCAAATATGTCTAATCAACAAGCAAAGTATGATCAATATTTCAGTTTTACCTTGAACCTAAATGCTTATTCCGCAAGTCATTATTTCACACAACTCACTGTCGTGATTTTACTTTGATATATTTTTGAATACAGTCAGCTTTACTGAGAAAAATCTGTTTGACAGATCAAAAAACAATAAATTTTGAAAGAGATCATTTAAATGTCAAAATCTTTCCTTGGTAAGGAGCTATTAAAGAGGAATATTAGAAGATACCTTAGTTTAGCTATCTACCTCTTCTATATGTACTCTGTCTTGTATTTGGCCTTGTACTATTCTGTAGTTTAAGTCTTTGTTTCCGTTTTTGTTGTGCTTCAAGTCTCTTGCGTTCTATGTCTTCCTTGGAATACACACACTTAACTTGAGTTGTCTTGCTTTGAYCATCTTTAGTGTTTAAGCAATTTGACTGTTCTTTTTCACTGACTGCYGGTTCAACAGGGTGAACTATTTTARCAGTTTGTGTTTTTTCTACTTGCTCTAATGTTTGAATCAGATCATCCGAATCATCATCAAAATCCCAACTTTCGGTTACAAAACTATCATCAGTGTTGCCTACATTWTTATTTTCTTGAAGAATCAAAACATCAGATTGTTCCACATCAGATCGTTGGGTGCTTGTAACAACTTCTTGATCACATAATCCAGAAATATCTACTTGACTCAACATATCATCAACATCATCTTCTTCCCAGTCAATACCAACAATGTCRCTTACTGGACTGGAATACTTAGGAGTTGTACAAGTGGCCGTTTTAGATTTTTTAAYGCAACCAGTTGGAGTTTTCTTTTSGTTTTCTAATCTTGTTTCCATTTTATCTTGTTGTTTTGTATTCTTTTGGTTGCTTACAAGCACAGATGTTGCCTTGCCATTCTCCCTGAAAAAAGGAWGTCCAGCAAAGTTGAAGTGTACATGATTACAGTACAATCATATTTTTTTTATGGCTGTCAATAGTTTGGGGCATTAAGGTTTATGAACCTCTCCTGATATATAAAATCATGGTTCATTGTGGTCTAGAGTACAAACAATGTCATATTTGGCAGCATGAATAAAGTATGTATCAAATTTAGACCACAAGACAATGCAAAGTTCTACTGTGTAACATGTATCTCAGAAAAGGCTTATATCATGGAGACATGGTCTATAGTGTTACGGACAACATGAGAATGTTACCTTTCTTTGACATCATTTGTCAAATGAGTCTTCACATTATTATCTGAAAGTTCAAGTGTTCATGTCTCTTAGTTTAATCACACTGTCAAATTGTCAAAGGATTTCATGCTTAATAAAGAGTGAAGATCAGCTACTGTAGTATCATTGATACTGTACAGGAAGGTGTCAAGAATATGCCTGGAGTCTGATAACAGTTGAATCAATTAAAATACTCCAATTATTATGTAGTCAGTTATACAAAACACAAGTCAATATTAATAATGGGAATTGATTCCACAGTATACTGTACAATGGATCTTATAATTAATAGCAAAACAACTAATATGTACAATACGTAGCAATACTGTCAGTAATAAACTCCATTGATACCCTGTAGTTTACAAGGCCTACAGTACTATGAAATACTAAAATATAATGAAAATATTTACCTGTATTTTGCATCATACTTGCCAGCACTTCTAGCTCCTTGGTTAATCTATTTTTGCTTTTTCTACCTTTTCTTAAAACTCTGAAATAGTGACAAGATGGATTTTCTCAAGCTTACAAGCTCCTCTTTTTAACTTTTGTCTTAAGTGGGAGTGTGATTCCCTCATGATAAAAAAAGAACAACTTGTAGCAAGTCTAGTACAWGCAAGACTAAAAATATTGTCAAAAACTGATAGAATAATCATACATGTATAATAGGAATACTTGTAAGCTGTTACCCACCTTGTAGGTCTAGATGGAGTTTGCATTTGCTTCTTCTTGTCACCACTAGTCACTTTAATGACTGGTTGTTCTTCTTGGCCATCAAACCAGAAGCTGTACAGACTAGAGTCTTGAGGTGTTTGTCCAGTCTACAACAACCAACATCATAGTCAAAAGAGCTTGATTTAGTAATATCCCAAAAAACATGAATGTACATGTATATGTAACATTTAAAACAAATTTATATCAAAAATGCATGACTACCAGTATTTACTTAATGAGATGTGCACACACACATATGTGTACCATCTGTGTTTTCAGAGTGTTTTTTATAAGATAACAATTATTAATTAACCTAATATATTATTTTGTGTGTACCTTATCAGCCAGTTTTTTCACCATGTCTGCTATATCATTGTTATCACTACTGCTCCCATCACTTGTTGTATTCTTCTTTCTTTTGCCTAAAGCAGTATGGAAAGCAATGGATTTATTATTTACAGCAGTAACTTGATGTATAGGAGTTTTACAATGTAGTATACTTATTTACTTGACATGTTTCGAAATTATATTGTCTGGTAACCTGATTTACTAAGACGGTACATGTCTTGTTCACTTAGTGTCTGGCTTGACTTAGACGACACTAATGTCTTGTTAACTGATTGACTAAGATACATGTAGCAATAAAATCATTACCTCGTGTTAACCTGATTGACAATAATCATATACAGACTGTATGCCTTGATAGGGCCATTTCACAGTCATACGAAAATTTTGAACTGCTATAAATATATACTGCATAATACTTGCAAGGCTGTAAAACACCTGGAGTCTGTACCCAGGGCCAGGTTGTTCAAAGCCCGATTAGCGCTAATCCTGGGTTAACTCTTAGAAAACCTATGGAATTAACCCTGGATTAACACTAATTGGGCTTTGAACAACCAGACCCAGGAGTAAATGTAATTGCAGTGTATTCATAATTTCTGAGGAGGTGGATGACATGTGTTGGATAGGCTCTTTTCTTTATTTTCTATTGGGGGTGAGGTTGGACTAGAAAAATACTTACCCAGTAACGTCCTGGATGGAGAAGGAGAATGATTGTCCCATACTATTTCACACTCGGTAAATGAGCTATTGGAAGTTATCCGTTTTGGGGTTTGCTGTGTTCGTCTTACTGAAAACACAAGACAAGTTTTCAAAGTTATGCTATAAAAAATACATTTTTTTTTGTAAAAATTAAAGCTTCAGGCATCCAATATCTTTAAACAAATATTAAAATAATGATAATTTTTGATAGAAAAAGAAAAATGTCCTTTACTACAAATGYATTAAGCTACAGTTAAAAAAAGTATACAAGAATACCTTAAATTATAAAAAAAATCACAGTAGGCCATACAATTTATAAAACTAAACTCTTTTCTAAAACAAACACCGTACAAACATTATAAAACATTGAGGAAAGCATTGGGCGATACAGCGTGAAATCAAAGAGTTTTTGTCTGAGCTTGTATACACAATTCCTTCGCTAAAGCATCATATTTAACAAATCAAAATTAACAGCGTTAATGTACATGTATACAGTGTTAAAACATAAATTGCAACTGAAAATATACGATTTCAACTCACCTTCGATGGAAGTGGTTGACGAACGGCCAGAACTTTTGCCTGGAGTTTTGCTTAGCGAACGTCTTTTTCTCATCGGAAATATCTCATTTATACTCATTACACCTTGAAGAACTTACAAAATGCCCCCAAAAGATGTATTTTCTCTTATTTAGGTTAAGAATTTGACGTTTTTGTTGATAAACAACCCTCAAATGTTCACTTCCATCGAAACGCGCTTTCAAAATGGCGCTTTAGTTTCGAATTAGCCTCGTTTTGAGGACTTTATGYGATTGGTTGTTGATGTTGTTGCAAATATCTAAAAAGCGTTAGGAATGGCAAAAGGACTAAGGATTCGCCATAGACGGGCGCAATTTATTAATTGATTAATTTTACATATTAAGTTGACTCGATTTAAAATATGATGCTATGGATGAAAAAAAAAATCAATTTTGTCACAAACATATCCCAAGGCACTTATACTTTTGTTAGGGATTTGATTTTCTGTTTTTATTCATAAGCCTTTCCATCAACTTCAAGCTCAGAGTTTTCTCAACTAATTTCAGTGGTCTGCTCATTGACATCTGCAGCATGCCAATAAAAATGGGCACTGGGTACGTGATTGAGGGGTATAAAATGGTGTTTCGGAAATMGWGAGGCTCGCCAAAAAGGGCTCAGATTTAAAAATCRCTTTTGGCTTGGAAGCTCTAGCTTGCATCGCATCCGGACAAACCRTCTTTTGATGCRAACAGRTGTGAGGGTGCTTCTATAAATGTTCTCTTGAATCAATGCTTGTTGTTCTAATACAAAACAAAGACCACAAACAGCAAATGCTTCACAACACCATGAATTAAGGTATCCAAAGTCCAACAATGTACACCAATCAAATCAGATACCTAGATTATAATTTTATTCATATTCTTCAAAAGAATTCAGCAGAATTTTACAATTAAGGTCAAGGGCATGTGCAGAGGGATTCCAGGAATTGCAAAATCTCTTTCCTTGGCAGACAAAGTCTTTTAAATATGAGACTTTATTTGCCAAAAWTAACAACACTTCGCYTGATAGAAATCCAAAACAACAGTCTCGTGGAAATATATTCTGCTTTAAGGAATATCATTAGACTGATTCCATAAGTCAGTACCAGTTCCCTAAGCTCTCTGTAGATGTCTTTTGTCGCTCACAGGAATCGAGGAGTGAATTCTAGCTATGACTTATGGAATCAGTCTAGGAATATCATGCAACAGAGGCTATTGTACTCTATAGTTGATTATTTCTGTCCAATAATTTGAGTTCTTGAGCATTTATTTATTCAAGCCAGCATTGCATCTCTGCCAGTATACAGGTATATCAGAAATAGTTGATTACTGGAGATTATAAGTGYATTCTAAGGCAACAATGGATTAATGTTATAGCCTGTCCTACATCCATTCAAAGGGAGTTTTAAACAGAGTGAGTATACCAGCCTTGTACAGTCAAGAACTTTTCATTTCCTTACTGATACATATAGCAACATGTTGTGCAGTCTTGGAAATCACTAGTAACACAGTTTTGGATGTAACACAGCGGCTATACTTTAATATCCAGAAATTTCAGGGCCCTTTTTCCTTGCTATCACAGGCAACTTAAATATYGCTTTTTAACAGTGCTTAATATTCATTTGACTTGACTTGATATCATTGCAGTAAAACATTTACCACTCAATAAATATACTTTTCACCCTTACAATAACTGTTCAGAAAATTAAATTAATTTAAAAAAAGATAAAGAAAAGGTGAAAAATAAAAAATAAAAAAAAATTGATTTTTATAACAATACAAGATTGCATTGCAAAATTAGCACAGCTGTAAAAAGGTAAAAAGTAATGACTTGRAGGGTGTTKTTTTTCTCYCTTAACAATTCAATGTYTCCTCAATTTCAAAATAYCAAAATTAAATCAATCAGTATGAAAATCAAATCAACTAGCATTACTCCAGCCCATTCCCCCATACTGACTGCCTCCTGAACTCCAAACAGACGAGCCATCATCATATGCATTCCTGTGATTATTAACTGGATCACCCCAGCCAAGAGATGATCCATTCAACTCAGTGCCACCCCAGCGATCATCACCCTTTGGTGGGTTGGGTATAGTTCCAGGCAAYACYCTCAGAGAGTCAGCATTTGATGTAGATTTGAGTTTGCTRTATTGTTGTACTCGCTGAGGTGTTAGTTTTCTATTTTCCATCATGTGCGTTTTGTCATTCTGTTCATCTTTCTGAAGGGCATCAATGTACTCATTCACAACAATGTCATTTATATCATCATTGTCCTCCACTGCAGCAATTTCTGGTAAATCTTCATCGTCCAAAGATCCATCTACAATTACATTGTCTTCCCAGTCCAACCAGGGACTTTTGCTCTTATGCTGATCATTCCGTGTCAATGACCAGCCCTGTGCATTACTATTAAGTGCAGTACTTTGTRCATTTTCTGTATCTAGTGTTTTTTTCTTTGATTTTTCTGGTTTGCGTAAAGGTTTAGCCACATTTTTCTTTTCTAAATCTTTTGGYAGAAATTCTTTATCAACATTATTMCAATTTGATTGTGAATTATTGACTGAATGATCCATTTTTATATTTAATTGATTTGAGTTGGCACTCCAYGAGTCRGTTTTCCATGAGTCAGATGATGAAGGTACTGTTTGAAACCCTGTTAAGTTTCTGCCAGCCTGTGGTTGTTCATGTAATACAAAGCCACCTCTAGATGGTTTCTCTTCAATCTCTTGAGTCTTTGTAGTCCTTGTTGCCAGATTTGAAGGAAGTAATTCACCCGGTATATTGATCTAAAAGAGAAACAAAAAAACACATTTATAAACAAATAAATGAATGAATAAAATAAAGAAATAGAGTGTAAATGTATGAATGGATAAAATAAATAATAAATAATTAAATAAATAAATTTTAAATAAATAAATAAATAAATAAAATTTAGAAGTGTACATGTATTGCACAAATTAATAATTATTATTTACCTGTTCCAATTTAATTTCACCTTTAAAAAGCATTTCCTGGAGCTTCCGTCGTTTTGCAAATTCCTATGTTATAATTGGTGATAAAGAAGTATGTTTAGTTATTATAGCTCAATGATAATTTTCTCATCCCACCCCCTCCTCCCACACACAGCAACAACAATGCATAGTACATGTCTTACTTGGTTTGAAACAAGATACATGTAGCTGAAGGTCAATATCATTGAAAACTTTACCTGTGCTTGAAGAGGTTTATTTATTGCTTGAAGAAGCACTTGTCCTCTTCCTGCCATAAACCTGGTGGACAGTTTTGTCCTTGCTCCCTGCAATAGAAACAGTGAACATCCTTATAAACTCAGCACAGCTTGTGGTACAAAGCAGAGCTTCATTATGTTTCAAATTATTTGGAGTTGATCTGTGTAGTTTCACCTACAGTTAATGTAGGCCATATATTATAATCATTATAGTATCAAATGTTGTATAGACCCCCTCCCTCTTGCATGTGAAGTCAAAAGAGTTCTATCTGGAGGACAAAAGATTTTGACCTCATGGGAACAGGAATCAATATTGCTTCATCCTCCTGTTGGAGCTGCATTCCCATGAACTGCAAGGGGTCAATACCATGAAGTATGAAATCATTTGAGGTCAAAGTTTTTTATCCTTGCTTGCACAAATTAATTATGATATAATATATTTTACATAGTCTTATATTTGATCAAGCTCTTATGTAATCTTTGATCCCCTAAAAATGTCTTATGTAAACTCAGTTTTTTACTTTTTAAAAGACAAAAAAATTGTGTTCAGACTTATCAATACAACTCAGGAACATAAGTGTAATAGTGGTCATTAGAGAATAATGAATTTCTAATAAACATGTATAGTTTCAAGTATAGTATCTGTTGTTTGGGTAAAACAAGTACACTTTTAAAGATAATTTCAAGTTTTATAATAATAATAATAATAATATGTGGTATTTATATAGCGCCGATATCCTCTGAGTTCAAAGGYGCTTCACATGTATAGATCATTTTACACGGACCGCTGTTTAAAAGGCGCAATTGGCAGCCACGCGGCTTACAATCATGAGGGGTTAGTAATTAGTATGGGTTAGTAGTAAGGCCTAGCCACACACACCAGGAATCATTCCCTACTCTTATGCGAACAGTGGTGTGGGTTCTTTAACGTCCCTCTAATACAGGTTAGTGAGTGAAGTGTAGAGAGACGGGACCTCCGATTTTACGTTGTTATCCGAGAGGACGAGAAGATCTTACCATTTGCAGATGGAGAAAGACAAAGGCAGCAACTTCTCCTCAATTATTTTAAGAMCCTGAGTGTTGGTCCGGCCGGGGTTTGAACCTGCGACCTCCCGCACTAAAGTCCGATGCTCTACCTTAACTGAGCTAACCGGTCGGCGGTTTATAAAAAGTTAATGCTGCTTATTAAAGGTTACCAAAGGAAGTTGAATAATTGATACTACTAGATTAGTACATATTAATTACTCTTATCAAAATATATAAGTGTAATCCACTTTTAGCACATTTGAGTACATAAAATGTCAATCGTTGCCCTCTATTTAGCTTTTAGCACCAAAAACAATCGACTGCATATGCTCATCGAAACCGTTATAAATAATAACTTACATCAAACTGCCGTTTGGTGTCCTCCATATTGGATTACCTCAGGAATATAAACCAGCTGCAAATAATACACAATTGACATTAGAACAAGTAAAAGTGGAAATATCTAAGTATGCAAACACAGAGTGTCATTCTTCTTATTACCTTTCGTTTCAGTGCAACGAAATAAAATAAACACACAAATAAACACCAAAGAAAGCTTTCGCAATAATCAGCAAGGGMAGTCAGAATGGCTTAACGTGAAATATAAATGTAAGGCTAGAAAGTCCGACTTACTTGTATATTTATAAAAGAACTCTTACCTTAATTTCAAAAATTCTTAATTTCAAAAACATGCGTGATCACGATGCATGAAAAGCTGTACACGCCATTCATCAACTTACCTTTCAACGACGGAAACTGAGTAAAATCCAAAGCCTTTACATTAAGCATACACGGGATAAATAAAGGTAAGTAGACAGGAAAGGAAACATAACATATTTGATCGAGTAATAGGCTGAAAACAAAACCAAAACGGAACTCAGCGTTTGGGWGTGAGGCGTGGCTACTCAGTGTCTCGATCTAGTCTCTCGCGGTCTTTCCAAATCAAAATGGCGGATTCAGATGCCTCCAAACACTTTTCATCGATATTTGTATATCTTTTAGAATTTTTGATGGTCAAACAATGAAGGAAGTTGATATTCATGTGYATTTTGAGCAATACACTTGATAACCCTTTTTAATACAMCATGAAGTCGATGATGGGACTAATGGCTAGCTGTAGCACCACAAAGTAGTAAATTTGGCTAGCCGRAGCCCYTGCTTCTATAAGCTTAATGAACCTGAATCGAGGTACAAGTCTCTCTGATGGGGTCTATCACATGATCTRTGGGTTGAACGAAGAATACCAAAGAGAGTTTCAAGCAGAGACTGCCCTCAGAAATCAACCGCTCGATGAGCTCAGTCTAGAGGATTTTCTCAAAGACTTTGACACTTCAAATCTTGTTGTTGAAAATRACAAGTTCTCTTTGGATTATCCAAACWCTGTTAAAAGAATTCTGCACGTTTGCCATGCCATTCACAAACAACTTATACAGCTGACGGTAGAACAATTTAACGAACATTTTGGAATAGACTTGGACTGGACAGGCTCCAGAAAAAGGATATTGGAGTGTATAGMAATKTTAAARGCTAAYGATGATTCAGAACTTGTCCTTTGCTTCTTATTGTTGTTTTCAACATTGGAACATTCTCTTGGTGATGTATTTGTGTCRRTGAGAGTATCAAAGMCATGCCCTACAAATCTCAAAGAGCTACTGGTTTCCAAAGAGATTCAAGATCTTATTGGAAAAAGTGTTGCCATGATGGCATTTGTCATTGCTGGGCCACCACAAGGTGTCAATCTTAGGAATGTACTTTGGCATGGATTTGCATCTGGGAATGAAATCTCTCTGCAGTAAGTTAAGCAATGTGCTATGGCTCCAATGCTAGCAAAGTAACCCCTCCCCTGCCACACACACACACTTTCATCCCTGGCTAAATATACATGTAGGGCCACGCTGTTATAATGGCCACTTTTTGATGTTCCCTATACAACTGGGTTAACATGATCCCAATAGTCCCCTTCACGGTTAGGTGCGCCATCTTGAAAGGTAGCCGTGCCTTTACGTCGAAGCGAGACAACCGTTGAGCGTGCAGCGATAGATACCTGTGAATAATTATTGTCTGTAGGTGTGAAAGAAGGTTTCTATCATTGCACGCTCAAYGGTTAATGTCTCGCTTCGATGCAAAGGCACAGCTACCTTTCAAGATGGCACAGGTAACAGTGAAGGATACTATTGTTATCTCCTTGACGTACTACTAAAATGAGAATACTGCTGTGTAGATGTAGATGTACCTTATCTTTGCAATTTTTAGGTATGGTTCTTTTCTGGTTATGATGATGGTGTATATTGGCAGAAGGCTCTCYAGTATTGATATCAAAAGGCGACCAATAATAACTTTTTCCAAACTTGATGAGCTCCTGGTTATTTTCCCAGTGATTGATTCCTGTAGTCATCTTTCTGCCATATCTCAAGTGTTCAGTGAAACTGCATTTGTGTCTCCAAGAGTGTTACCTATCTGGAAGAGGGTACTCTTTTATTACCAAGAACAAAAGTATGAGTTATATTTTTATATTTGACTCATTTATGTCCTATACAGCTCTAAAAGCTTGCAAAGTGCATACAATTTGTTTGTTCAACTAGGAATCGCTGCCAACTCTCACAAATATTTTGAGAGTCTCTAAATTTTGGACATCATAACCCAGTCACCCAGATTAAGACCCAAATTTCAAGAATAATTGTCCAATACAAATGCTTGTCATCTATCAATCTATGAATATTAAAAACTTTTGTGTTGCTCACTCCTACATGAAATATATCAATTGATAAAATGCATATTTCCACACACCCATCAAATATTGTCTATTTCTTTTTCCTCCATTACACCTAGATATGGATATGCATTGGTCCTTTTAATGCCACAATTGGAACACTCACTGAGAAGAGTGTTTGCTTGGGTAAATGGATGTCCAGAAAGAATTCTTACAGCTGAATCTACCACACTTTATACTACATTTGATGAGGTACTTTATTGGTATGCACTTTGTACATGTAGATATGATGGCCATTGGTGACAACACCTCACTTAAGTTAATCACAACTACTTCAAGACTACAAGAAAGAAGTCTCTCAAAAAAGACTACAGTTTTTTCCAATGGCTGTAAATACTAACTTGAATGCTTTTCTATCTCCTAGATGCTTGATAATGTTTTACCTGATGGCTCAGAGAATAAACTGAGAACTCAACTTGGTGATAATTTCCTAGAAATGCTTATGGATGTACTTGTACACTSTGAAGGGCCTCGTATTAGAGATCAYCTTAGCCATGGAGAAGTCGACCTTGATGTAGTTCCAAGAGCTCTATGTAGTCACCTCATTTGCATCTGTGTGGCATTTGCACTTCATTTCCGCAATGATAAAAGTAAATCAGATGAGAATCTAAAGCATTTGAAATACTCATTGAAAATTGGTGAGGATTTTGGTAATTTGTTATTGGATGGTAAGAATGCTTCCAAGCAAGATGTCATTGATTCAAAAAGTATTATTACAGGACAAGCTATCATGGAAAGTGCTACAGACGTGGGTAAATGTCAGCCAAGTAATGAAAATCAGGAAATGATTGATTCAACAAGAGACACTTGTACAACAAAACAAGACTCAATAGGAAATTACACAGCATTTAGTAAAGTACAGTCAAATAATAAGACTATTTTTCAAAAGACATCGATTGCATTGATAAGTGAAAATACAATGCAAAAAGATGATTTTATTGGACATATGGTACACGTTTCTAACAACTACCAATCAGTCTATCATCCTTTTCAAATTCTTAAAAGAGAGCTCTGTTCTATATCAAAACTCTTTGAGGATACTGTCRGTATACCTTGTGATCTTCACGGAGAACTGTCTTCATTGAACAATGAAAAAATAGAAAGAGCCTGGGATATAATATGTAGCAAAAAAACAATATTATTTTCTGATTCCTCGGCTGTTTCAATAAGTGGACCATTTAGTATGAGAATTTCTAAACTGTGTAGTGATATGAACATACARACKTTGTACAGACCAAGAAGAGAATTGGAGGTTGTTTCCCTGTTGCGCAGCATCATTCAACATTGTGGTAGTATGATCGTCCAGGTGTGTGACTAGATTATGCAAAATAGACCTACAATCAACTCTCGCTATTRCGGACACCCTCGGGAACGTAATTTAGTGTCCGCAGTAGCGAGAGTCCGTACTAACGGGAGTTRCTTTCAGTCATTTCTTTGWATTTTTMGCCGGGGATTTAGTAYTTCGTGTCYGTAATAGCGGGGTGTCCGTAAGGCGAGAGTTGATTGTATCACGGACACCCCGATATTTAATACGGACATGAAATACTGAATCCCCGRCGAAAAATACAAAGAAATGAGTGAATGTAACTCCCGTTAGTACTGACTCTCGCTACAGTGGAAACTAAATTACGGTCCCGAGGGTGTCCGTATACCGAAAGTTGACTGTACATGTATCTTGATGGATGGAAGTTGATAGTTGCCACAAGTTTTGGAGCAGCTGAGATCATGTCCTTTTCCAAATAGTAAAAAAAAGAATGAAGGGGTCGAAAATAAAAAAAAGACAAATGGGGAAATGAGTAGAAAAAAAAAAATTATAAAGAATTACATAGCACTGCGTCCCTTATCGCAGTGATAGGCGTCTATGCAGAAGATGTTTTTAACGTTAGTATATTCTCTCTCAGGTTTTTAATACGGCAAATCAACGTTACCAACAATGGCAGACCAAGGAATTGAGATCACGTCAAAGGAACAACTATAAGAGACTTTTAAGCTTGTCACCCTTCTATCAAAGTACTCTTAAAATAACATTACTCGTGATAGTAAATGAACTTGGTTCATTGCAAGATAAGAGTACTGTGCAGCCTAGCTATATCAAGTAAGTGCGATCTGGAGCTTTCAAAATTTACTCAATCATTCCCATGAGATTCCAAAGATAAAAGTCCGGCGGCCATGTGGGTTGAATGACAATAGAAATTGTTGAAATTCATAAGATGGCCGCTGTGACGTATATTGAAAACGAAAAATTCCTGTACTCTATATGCTTTTTCCATGTCATAAAAAGCAGTTTGATTGAAAAAAGTGTATTGAGAAAGAATTTGAATTCACAAATTTACTGTGTACATTGTTGTATCCTTTTGTTTTTTTTTTGAACTCACACAAGAAAAGTACATAACAATCAATGGCAATGCCGTCATCAAGCTTTGCTCTACTCTGCTCTGCTCTGATCGGCTTATTAAACACCAACCCTCTGCCTAGACAACCAACACTTAGCCAATCAAAACTCGGGATAAACACGCGCTGCAAGAAATGAAGCCATCTTYCTACAACTTTTAAGCATTTAAAAATGCTCGAAAAACGACTGTAACACTTCGACGCTGACAAACAGAATCTTAAAACGCTGCTTACTTATCGCTTTTTTTTTTTTTTTTCCAGTTTTTCTAGTCGGTGATTGGATAGAACTTCTATCCTTTCATAGATCCCTTGACTCGCGGGATCAAAAACTAGTCACAAGACTAGTTTTTGATCCCGCGAGGYAAGGGATCATTGACGTAATACCACAGGTAACCCGCAATTTGCCAAGAGCGCGCGCAGATAGCAGCGTAAGAAGGAGTAGTATAAAAGCGAGCGTAAATAAGAAGCGTGCGCATTGTTTTCATTCACAAGCAATAGTTGGGCGGCCTATGAGAAAAGCTTATTTCATAACTGATGCTAATGTAAGGCAATACAAAGACATTATTTTTTTATTTTTTAATCCATTTTTTGTAGGTTCTTGAAACGTGTTCTTCAGTTTTCAGAAAATTTAGACTCGCTGAGTAGTTGTACCAAGAATCGATGGGATGATTGTCRAACTGTGTGTGAACAACTTCTTGAACTAATTGTAAATCATTACACGAAAAATACATRATAGCTTAATATTGTAAAATGGTTCAATGATTGAATGAACAAATAAAATATACTTTATGAAGCGCTGATTGTTTGTAAGGAATAGTGATATGTTCATGCCATGAGGGAAAACGATCGAATTTACATAAAAAGGCGATGTATTAAGGTCGGTTGATACTGATTAGTTTACATGATTAGTTCATATGATTGGTTTGACGTTTGGCGTTCGTCAACCTCGTTCCCAGGGCTACTCTGCTCGCCCTGGGAACGAGGTTGGGCGTTCGTCTGCGTTTGTGATCATAATTAAAGCAATGCCCGACGCGCAGTTCTCGCACTAAAATGCAAAAAGAAAAAAACGAAGCAAAAATACATGAAATAATACGACATCAAATATACTAAGTGCATGGAATTCGGAAAAAAGAGGGTCTCAAGGGGGTTAACCGTGAGCCGTGAAACGGCTGAAAAATTAGCCGTTAGTCGTGAAAATGAGAGCCATGAGGCGTGAATATTTTTTCTATAGCGTGAGCCGTGATTCAGTTTTGTCCCTCAGAAGGACAGTCAACTCCGATGCAGTCGCGCGCTTGTAATTTTTTTTTTGTGATTTTTTTTTTGTAAATGCTCTATTCGCAGAGTATGTAATTTGTGACAAACGAGGAACGAGTTTGGGATAAATTAATATTTTAAATTAATATATTAATAATATTTTGCCGCCCTTATGCACGTGCGAGTGCAGCGTGTGTCCTTAGGGAGAACAGTAAGTAGGTTATAAGTGTGAGAACGTTGTCTRAGGTCAGCCACGCAACACAAGCCAAGTTCGGTTTTCACAGTCTAGAGATATCCAATATTGACTGCACAAATTTAACGATCGTTGATAATAAAGAGACGGTGATCATGAGACTCCTGGATTTGCGATTACAAATAAACCGCTGTAAATAACACTATAGCTTAGTATATAGAATCCAGAATGTCAAACTCTAAATCCCCAAGAGTGCGCCACAGCATGGTCGGGGGTACACGTTCCCTTTTTCCACAGTGTGGTTTGGGTTTTCGTGTCCAGCTTGGCGCTAGAAACAATATCGGTAGAGAGTTTATAGCTTAAAACAATAAAGACTATCTGGGGCTGGCTGACCGACCTGCCCAAGCGTTAGTGTGTCGTTGTGTTGTATATGAGTAGTGAAATCAAAATAGCTCATTTAGTGCATCGAAGACCTTAATTGAGCGGGAGCCTGCGTCACGCTAAGTGTGGCAAGAAACTAAAGCTGCTCGAAATAGAACGTTACAATATTGAATCGACATCTTTTTTTAGATTGCTAATAAAGATATAAAATATTTTTTTTGCCAAAACAAAACTAGCACTCATTTAGTGTGTTAGTACATCGAAGACTTTGAGCGGGAGCCGATCATATATCCACTTCGTAAAAAAGAGGGATCTCGGGAAAGTGAAACACAAGAGATGACAATAATTATGCAAAAATAAATAAATAAATAAATAAAGAAGATAAACAATAAATAAAATAAAAAGGAAAAAACAAAATCATTAAACGTCTCCTCCAGGGAATCGATCCCGCTACCGTCTACCTACATTGGATTTGCAAGCGGCGCCTTAACGCGGTGTGCCACTGGATCACTCTCATTTAAATAATAATAGATCACTTGACACTTTCACCGAATAGACTACCCCAATTYGACATTATACTTTCGATAGTTGCCTAGTTAGTGCAAGGGGTTATCCATCAGTGTCTAGGGGCCGGATAGCTTCTCCCTCACTGGCTTTTTAGTTAGCGCGAAGTTAGGACCAATTATCGGGATAGCATGGAAGAGCCGAAATCTCTAACCGGAATGTAAATCGATTCGCCGCCTCAGCTTCACAGAATGTCTCGGGGGAATCGTCCCAACCTTTTTTCGATTTTATGGTCATGGGTTCGAATCCCAATACTCAAGTTTTTTCTTTTTTCATATTTCT